GTGGGGTGGATATTATAGTTGATGCAAACGGTGGGGAGGATATTATAATTGATGTAAACGGTGGTGAGGATATTATAGTTTATATAAACGGTGGGTAGGATATCATAGTTGATGTAAACGTTGGGGTGAATATTATATCTGATGTAAACGTTGGGAGGATATTATAGTTGAGTTGATGTAAACGGTTGGGAGGATATTATAGTTGATGTAAACGGTTGGGAGGATATTATAGTTGATGTAAACGGTTGGGAGGATATTATAGCTGATGTAAACGGTGGGGAGGATATTATAGTTGATGTAAACGGTTGGGAGGATATCATAGTTGATGTAAACGGTGGGTCGGATATTATAGTTGATGTAAACGGTGGGATGGATATTATAGCTGATGTAAACGGTGGGATGGATATTATAGTTGATGTAAACGGTGAGGAGGATATTACAGTTGATGTAAACGGTGGGGTGGATATTATAGTTGATGTAAACGGTTGGTCGGATATCATAGTTGATGTAAACGGTGGGATGGATATTATAGCTGATGTAAACGGTGGGATGGATATCATAGTTGATGTTAACGGTGAGGAGGATATTACAGTTGATGTAAACGGTGGGGAGGATATTATAGTTGATGTAAACGGTTGGGAGGATATCATAGTTGATGTAAACGGTTGGGAGGATATCATAGTTGATGTAAACGGTTGGGAGGATATCATAGTTGATGTAAACGGTGGGTAGGGAATTATAGTTGATGTAAACGGTGGGGAGGGAATTATAGTTGATGTAAACGGTGGGTGGATATTATAGCTGATGTAAACGGTGGAGAGGATATTATAGTTGTTATAAACGTTTGGGTGGATATTATAGTTGATATAAACGTTTGGAAGGATATGATAGTTTATGTAAACGGTGGGGTGGATATTATAGTTAATATAAACGTCAAGGAGATGACTAGCTCGAGTTTCTCTTGGCTCCATGACGTGACCCACAATAAACATTAATTCAGCCATGGTTTAAACTCTAGCAGTGGATCCACAGAAAACTGGGGTTAAGAATGGACAAAACGGTGCCTCTCCATGATCCCATCTGACATGGAAGAAAACTAAATTAGTAATATTGTCCATAATGTTCTGGAAAAAGTCGAAGCGGGTAGGATACAAGACATATTGATCAAACTTCTTATTGTTTAACCATTCTAACCGTTGTATAAACATTAGGTTATACCATGGCGCTTTGGCAATTCATGCGCGGAATAAGATAGTTTTATATTGTTGTTTTTATCATATAATTAACGTACATATAAGTTGTAATGAATTATGATATTTCTTACAAAATCTGGAATTGTCGTTTTCAAATATTATTTAGCGGCGTTTTACTTCAGGTTAGATTACTGCGCAACAACCTAGGTTCTTAAACAAAGTCAATAGTTTCCGTGTGTAGAAAGTTCTTTTTGTGTGGTAGAAACCGGTCACACAAACTCGTGGTTGTTGTTTATGGTGTTTATTTCACTCGAGTTAGTTATTTTTCAAAAGTTACAAAAACTAGCTTTGTTGTGAAACCTCTGTTTCTCATTCATTTTTGTTTAATACCCTAAGAAAACAAGTTACAAGTTGGGGAGGAGAGGGGATCACTTAACAAGCCTGACACATAGGTATGGAACATTCCTTAATCAATATGTGATACTTGAGAATTCAGTATCAAAGGCAAGTAAACATTATCTAAAAAAAAATATCGATCGACCCCAGTTTTTATGCAGAGATTGAATACACAGATATTTTCTTCCCTTATCCATTCTCAACTGATCCACCCTCAATTTTAACTTGAAAACTTTAAATTATTTGATAAATGTATCTTACTATTAAGCCAAGCTTTCCACTAAGTTGTTTCTAGAATGATAAGAAGATTGGTTTTGAATATAACTAAAACATTTGTGGATATTATTTTAAGTTGTGCACCTTCAAATAAAATACAAATACAATGTATATTGTTTGATTCGCCAAAGTTTCCCACGAGTCTGATGATGTTTAGTTTGATACTGTTGGAGTTCGTGGCACTCTTATTTTCACAAAGGGCCTACAAGATGTATATGTAGAAGGTTATACAAATCAACAGCTAGAAATAAGAAACCGCAATGGCATGACAAGAGTTCAATATCCGTAGTATAAAATACCCACACTTCAGGAACCTGTCATCAAAAAACGCTAGAACAATAAAATGTCCGCTCTTAGGATGACAGAATGTTGACATGCCCACTCCTTTGGAGCATTTCATCTTAAAATGACAGAATATCATGCCCACTCCTTAGGAGCATTTCATCTTAGGATGACAGAATGTTAACATGTCCACTTCTTAGAAGCATTTCATCTTAAGATGACAGAATGTTAACATACTCACTCCTTAGGAGCTTGTAATCATAAGATGTTGGAACGTCAACATGTCAACTCCTGTCGTCATCAGGTGTTAGGACGTTAACACACACTCCTCAGGAACCTGCCATTATCACAGGTTAGCACATTAGCATCTCCACTGCTGAGAAGCTTGTCGTCATCGGATGTAAGAACGCTAACATAGCCACTCCTTAGAAGGCGAGCACCTGCACTCCTTAGGAGCTTGTCGTCATCAAATATTAGAACATTTAAAAACATCCCGACTCCCTTGGATGCTGTCATCATGCCATTGAGATATTGGAAGATTATTTACTTACATACTTTGTGACCAATCCTTAATTACATTTTTCTCAATTTCTCGACCTTTCTGCAACTATGTTAAAACATGGTTGAGCTGTATGTTGTTTAACGTCCTGTTAACCTGGTCAATAGAGGGCATGTTAAAATATATGGAATGGTAGCTCATTTTTAGATGTTTGCTCCAGATGTATGAGTATAAGTTCTTTAATCTTTAATTTTTTTCGCATTTTTTTTCAACATGTCTCTAAATTTATGGAGCGGTGCTTTTCAACTCCCTTAGAGGACTGAAGGTTTTGTATAATTTTACAAACGACATTGATATCGACCTAATCTCTAGTATGTTGAAAGATGTCGATCAACGGGTAGATGTACTGATCGATTTGATTCAGTTTTTTTATTAGCTGTAGGTCTTGCGGAGCATAAGTATATATCACATACAATACATAATTTGATATGAAACATGATGTCCAAATTGGATAACGAGTTATAGAAACACAGCTCTTACCTTTGTTGCTTCAAAAAACATATTCACAGAGACGACTTTATTCCTTGCAGCTATTGGGACACACTACATATGTAGTTGTATAAATTAAACAGAAGGTTTTGCCAATATTATTTCTTACATAATGCCTTCCTAAGCCGTTGTAGATATTACAAATTGCCACAAAATGACATTTAGAGGAAACTCTCTATTGCTTTCAGAGCTCGGTAAAAATCTTTGACGTATACAATGTAAAATAATTGCTAAACGTGCATTGGTTAAAAGCAATATGTCACCGAAACCCAGAGTATTTTCAACGGTTTAATGTACACGTGCTGGATTTGTTATCTAACATTACAGGTGCATTTGCTGGGTTTATTTGTCTCCATTGTTATACGCACTTTGTCTTTTATTCCTATAGTAAATGAGAGGATGGTCCATTGTTCGTTAATATTTCCTTAAGATTGGTATATATTACAAATATTTCCTTACGGCAGAGCTGTACTACAAATACTAACGGATAAACATGTAAAGCACGCACTTGGAGGATGAAATCGTCATGTTTTTCAGTGTAAAGAAAACACATAAACTAATTTTAACCGTCGGTTATACAGCGCACTCACTCATCAAACACATACGTTCTCTGTTAACTAATTCACTTGAAAATCTCTGTTTACGTGTCTTGGTTGTATGCATGTAAAACACTATTTCAGACTCTTTTCGTTATCAAAACATTCGACATTACCAATCAATCTTAACCATTTTTGGAAGACTATTAAGACTGTCTGAGTTTTCTCTACTCTGAATGATATTTTACAATCATCCCAACTTCAGCTTTACAATGTTTTACCACAAGACTCGTTATATTTCACGTGTACATTGAAAAACAGCAGCGATTCATACTAGATAAATGTCTTTCAATAAAATATATATTGTTTGACATTTTTGTGAACTATATCAGATTAGGGTCTTACCCTGGAAAAATGCAATTAAAAAATCTTAAAGTGTGTATAGAAAGAGGAAAACACGTGGTTGGAACGCATGTCAAACGGTAACGATTTTTAAAGATTTAGGTTAATTCATCTTAAGACTGAACCACGTTACTAATCAGGACATCTGCTATTAAGTATCCACAGTGCTTAAGATCTATTCATTGCATCTTAAGATTATATCCAAGTTCTCGCATGGTGAGCCAAATAGAATTTTGTCATTACTGTGGTATATCATTTTGGGCCATTCAGCCAGTGAAATGGAATTTTTTTTTATCACGTATCTACATCATTTATCAGACTTAACTTATACTTTAGCCTTTAAGAAAGTACATTAAATAATGACACATCGAATGAAGACAAAGATATTTCAGAGTATGAATTACCGAAAATATAACACATTATAGATGTGGCATAAAATGTGTTCAATACATATTACTCTTAGTACCGTTATAAGTAAGGGAAGTTACTCTAAAACCGGAAAATGGAATTAATCTGATAATATAATGGCCGGTAACAAAATACCGACAGACGGTAGCAGTCACGCGTGTTTGTTATTGATACGTGTGCAATGTATTCAATTAAACATTACTATATGATTGTCGGCTGTTGTTCTAAAACGCCATCGTCACTCGTGAAACACATCATAGAATGGTTACCATGGTGCAAGATCAACAGATCAGCATGAGCTAGTCTCGCGTGGCTCTGATTACTTATGCAAATGAGCATACACCTCCATGTTGTGACGTCACTGGGTGGCAGTAGGGCGAGTAGAAAATGGTTATGTACCACTGATGACATCTGAGAAATATATGGTTTGACAGTGTAAAGAGTATCTTCATCAGAAATATGCCTCTCTTTGGTAAAAAAGGTGCAAAAGAGAAGGATATTACGAAACGTTACATATTCAAGGAAGTGCTTGGAACGTAAGTACAATATTTATATTTAGGAATTATTCTAATTACGGTAGGTCTGTATACCGTTTCCAGTTAGGCCTGAGCTCGGCCGGCTAGCCCATAAACACATTGATATCTTGGGGCTATGTTTACACAGTCTCCGATCATTTTCGATTGACCAGTTCGTGTGAGGTTTTCTAAGTGTGACCAGTGATTGTGTAGTACACACAGTTATTACTGAACGAGGGGTTGGAATTAATTTCTACATTATCATAGACACCTGTTCGTTTACTGATGCACGAGATTCCTCGGCATGTAAACCAGAATGAAAACCTGTATATTGTATCGGTTAAACTTCACATAGGTGAGGCATACGAGTTAAATTGTATACATACCCTCTATAACGGATGTATATTTAAACTTTTCATTTAGGTGTGTAATGTACATTTGACCCAGAAAACACTTGGTGTAGAGACCTATTCACTAGGCCTACTATATAATGTAAAGAGTACTGAAGGATACAGGAAGCTGTTACACACATATCAGTATAACATCCATTGTAATGAAAGAGTCGCATATTTCACTACCATTATTATATTATAAACTACATGTATGTAAACAAGTTGGTAGATATATATGAGTAGTTAAATGCCTTAATTATTTAAGCAGTTAAGGACTGCTTAAACAATCCTGGTTTTGTGTCATTCATTCCCATTCTTGAGAGGTTCATTATTTCCCTTCCAAATGATAACACCTGAACAACTAGATAAATCCTTAACCCTCCACCAATGCTGAAGTAAATTTTAAACACATTCATAGATATCTGACCTCATTATACCATGTAGGTCAGTATAGACAGGTAGAGATGTATCTAAAGAGATCTGACATCATTACATCATTTAGGTCAGTATAGACAGGTAGAGCTGTATTTAAAGATATCTGACACCATTACATCATTTAGGTCAGTATAGACAGGTAGAGCTGTATTTAAAGATATCTGACACCATTACATCATTTAGGTCAGTATAGACAGGTAGAGCTGTATTTAAAGATATCTGACCTCATTATACCATTTAGGTCAGTATAGACAGGTAGAGATGTATTTAAAGATATCTGACCTCATTATACCATTTAGGTCAGTATAGACAGGTAGAGATGTATTTAAAGATATCTGACACCATTACATCATTTAGGTCAGTATAGACAGGTAGAGTTGTATCTAAAGAGATCTGACATAATTACACCATTTAGGTCAGTATAGACAGGTAGAGCTGTATTTAAAGAGATCTGACGTCATAACCATTCAGGTCAGTATAGACAGGTAAAGATGTTATTTAAAGAGATCTGACATGATTACACCATTCAGGTCACTATAGACAGGTAGAGTTGTATTTAAAGAGATCTGACATCATTACACCATTCAGGTCAGTATAGACAGGTAGTGTCCTGATTACAGTTATATGACCTCTTGTACATCAGATCAGTAAAGACAAATAAATATCTCATATCATTACGCTATTCAGGTTATTATGGAAATAAATATTTTCAATTTGAATTGATTTTAAAATTGTTACTAAAAGAAATGAAAAGAAAACTAAAATAAATAAAGTTGTAATTTGTGCCCATTTTACTAAATGTTACATTGTTGAAACTCCAACATGAAGACTAGTTTTAAACAGGGATAGAGAAAGGGGGCCAAATGATTTGAATGAGGGGTAAAAATTGTTTGTGTGTGCCAGGGTCAGTTTTGGTGTAAATAATATATAATTAAGAGAAAGATAATATCACAAGTCTGACAATAGGGGCAGCATATTTCTATGGTTTCCAGAATGTCAAGAAAACTTGAGTTTTGAGTGATTCCATATTTTGTGCCTCTTATGACATTGGTACAGTTTATGGTTTTAGTAAACATCCCCTAAACGGAAGATAGATACACTCTCATTCCATAAGGTCTTATATTAGGTGACTCTAAATGCAATGGGTTATATAGAAGTCTTTAAAATAAATTTATGGTAATTTAGCAGGCTAACATGCATGACTTAAAATGAAAGGTTGTTCTGTACAAGTTTTAATTTTTGGCAACAAGTGTCTGGAATTGGGCTTTTAAACAGATCTAGACTTGATGGTTTTATTTGGTGTAAAGTTGATAACTTGAATTAGACTTTTAAATAGCTTTTCCCTGTAAGAATCCAGTACCAGACTTTTTATTTGGTTGTGATGACAAGTTCTATAAGCACGCTGGTACACATATGATGATTAAGGTATGATTAAATCTTCAGATAAATATTTTTCTTACCGTATTTATCCTTATAATCAAGGAAGCCAGTAGTAGCCAATGTAAAATATTTGAACTAGTTAGCAATTAAGTCTAGAAGGAGTGTTATTAAAGACTAGTAGAGTAACATTAAATAAGTATGGTACATTTTGCTAACATTTGAATGTAAAGATGTGGAAATGAAGGCTTTTCAACATCCAAGAACAGTTATCTTTTTAGTGTGATGTAGATTTCGTTAACATGTTTCAGCTGCTATGCGACTGCCATCAATGTTGTATCTCGTATTTTTCAGTTTAAAATTTTGAAGATAAAATTATGTCATATGGTAAAAGTATCATTTCGGTTCTAATAGTGTCTGTGTTGATGGATAAGTATCAATATATCTTACAATCAAGATCAACATGTTTTTCGTTCATTAGCAATACTGTATATATCTGTAATTTTTACATAATTTTCATGTGTAAAACTTTGTTCATCATAATGACATTATTGATTTTGTTTTTGAAACAAACTATCATATCTTTGGTGTTTTGTAATTAATTTTAACCGAAGTTAAAAATATCACTCTGATCTTAATAGGCTGATTGAAATGTGATTTGATTAGTTAAAGCATATACACCCGTTATTTTATAACAGTGTTTTGCTGAACTGTTGTTTAAATGTAGGCCTGACTTATTGCTGGCTTCAGTTTTCACACAATATCAACTATTGATCAAGACCACTCATCTGGGTAAAAGTTGATTAATTCTTAATGGCATTCAAGTGAAAATTGAGAAATTTAAAGAAGTCTATTTTCTTAAAGTTAATTAATGATCAGTTCCAGGAAAAAACTTGCTCTCTCTGGTTTGTAATGGGGTTATCTCCCCTAACTTAATAATGATGCCATAAAATGAATATGCATGTCATAAAAATTTGACAAGTCATACATCCTGATTTTGTATATCTTTAAAATGAGTCACTGTTTTCAAACCTGTCACCTTGAAATATACAACCAAATGATGTTGTTAGAAGTAATGTCTTTTAAAGCTGTATATATATATTTTTTTCCTGCAATCTTTCGAAAATATCCTTTATTAAGTAAATTTGCTAATGACTGTGCATGGAAGAATGTGTAAAGAAATGATCATCTGTGAAATTATCAGGAGACATGTTCATGCTAATACACTTATACTGCATGTAGTGTGAGGGAGGCTTGACATTTCATCTGTTCTGGCGTGAACAGTAAATCTCAACCTGATCTATTTCATTCTGAACATCTGATTAAAATTATTTTTTAATGAGGTGGCAGTAAAATTAATATTTAAACGATGTATTGAGTAAAATTAAAAAAAAAAGTGATGTGTTAAAAGGCAGCTGTTTGTTTTTCATTGTTATCAGACAGCTTGAAAAGTTGACTTTTCCAGGGGTATATAGCTGAAAAGTTGACTAACATGTCGATATTATGTTTGATGATGTCTCAAAAGTTTGAAATAGGTAGACAATGAAACTGGTAAATTGAGTCAACTATATGTAGTTGAGTGAAATATGGATATTCTACCAAAAGGTATAGAATTTGAGTCAGAATTGAGGCTTTTCTGAGGTTCTGAATCTCAATTATATACCCAAGAGTTGAATATCCATTGTCCCACATGGATGTTTGACATGGAATATGTGCATCCTATATAGGAGGAGGTGGGATAAAAACGGTACTCTTTGTGTAAAGACTAGCTTTCTACATTGCTAAGGTTATTATAGGGAATAATTTTAACACCAATAAATATTACCCTGATATATGTAGAGGTTATTGCATGATTTTTCGAGTTACACAGGATTTATTACACCCGAGTGATAGCGGGGATCTAATAAGTCCTGAGTGATGAGAAATGCAATAACGAACATACTGCATACTTCACACCTTAAACAGACCATAATAGAGAGTGAGGAAAACTCTCTTTGTCAGCGCCCATACCATGACACTTCATTGTTTTCTGTATAATTTACATTTACTTGTTTGAGTGACTGTTTCTCTGTACCAGTGAATAGAATGTTGTACATTTTGAGCGAGGCAGGTAGGCGGGATTATTTTAAATCCTTGTTAAGTGATATGAAGTAGGATACTAAAACCATTTCCGTACAAGAGATGTTTTCACTCCCTAATCCATGCAGGTATTTTCTTTCTTTAGCTTTCAAGGAATGGTATATATTTTGTAGATTAACTTGTCATGGGTGTGAAAAAGGAAATAGCTTCTAGAGATAACATACATTTCCCAAAAAAGAGGATGTTTTAATGCCTGGAAATTAAAAAAAAAAATTACCACCAGTTGTGTGAAATATATGAAAATCATGAAGTTATAATGTCACTGTAACAAATGTACAAATATATATTGTATGATTGGATTGTTATCGACCTAATCATTACCAACTTTTTGATTATCTTTCCTTTCCTGATAGGTTTGTTACCCTAGTCTACTGCTCACAGCCCCTTTTATGGTTATAAAGTCATGATTACCCGTGAAAGGGGATAGGTGTGCTAAGGGCTGTGGTAGAAAGTGATTTATATGCCAAACTTTTCTATTAGGAGAGGTGTGAAGTATGCAGTGAAGGTATACTTCTTGATTATGCTTCAAGTCTAGCAACCATTGATGATACTTCAGCTGAGTAGGGGTATCAGAATATCATCAGTCAAGGTTTAGCATTACTGTAACTATTTATAGAAATTGTTATAGCATTAAGAACAATAAGCATGTGAGGGGGTACCAAATCTATATTTTTTTAT